CGTGTATTCCAGTATAGGGTGAGTAGTTTGTTATTTTTGAATTGGGGATTTCCCTGTGGGAACAAGGCATCTGCTTTCAGATGGCCGGCCTTCAGCAGTTAACCTCAGACAGGGAAAATTTAATGTTTGGCTCTTATATTTAATCCCAGGGCGACGCTTTTTGCTCCTTTTTTGCTTAGATTAAACAAAAAGCTCATATTCTAATGAGGAATAACACAATTAGGTATGTAAAAAACGGCGTTAACCCGTCAATCACGTTGATTTGTGTTCCTGCAGAAACGTGACTGCAGGAGGTCACGTTCATGTCATTGAGTTCATCCCAGCCTTCCACCCTTCCAGCTATTGAAGTGTTTGGATTCTTTGAAGTACTGGCATGGGAGGCAGGTTTGGCAGCTATATTCTTATAAGCTGAGCCCTACAGAACAATCATTTTACTTCTGATTTTTGTTTTTTAAGAGCTAAAACCCCAAACGTGTGTCTATCCATAGATTGACGGCTTCCTTTTCCTTTTTCTCCAGGTGGACGGTGATGAAACCATTTGCAGGGATTATTTTCCATATGCACAGTTTGAAAAATTAAAAGCATAAATATAATGTTAAAATCAGCCTACCTCAGAATGAGAACCTGCTTCGTTATATCTGTATAAATTTATTCTGAGACATAAAAAAAAAAACCTGGTCTGAGTGTATTATGCTTTTTTTTGTTGCAGTTCTAATGAAGTTTGCTGTTTGCTTCTGCTGACTTTAGCCCAACCAGCAGCATTACATCAGCTTTGAAAGTTTCACATTGTTAGATTTTGTTGAAGGTCTGTCTGCACTGGAGAGATTATTTGAATCTTTGAGCTTGATGCAGATACAATGAAACAATGTCTCAGGGTTACTTTGTGGCATCTGAAGGGAAAATCAGAGACAAGGACCTTCAGACTCCTCTTGTGGTAGAAACAAGGAGGACAAAAACATGTAGAGATGGATCTGGTCATACAAAGGGTTATATAGGGCTTAGTTTCTTCTCCCAGGATGACCATCCTTCCTTAATCCAGTTCTGGTCCAGCTTTAATTTGTTTCTGCAGTTTTTGGCACAGTTACTGCTCAGCACACTGACAATGATCATAACCGACATGCTTTCAGATCTTTGACAAAAAAAAGACTATTTATTATTTCTTTATAATTTAGGACCATAAAACGTTTCACGGTGGATCCTATTCTGAGACAGAAAACAAACCCCAACCATTTCCCATGTGTTTGATTTAACTATTGATTAAATTTTAAGTGCTATTTTTATTTTAGGTATATATTACTATGGAGTGAATTCTGTTCCACTATTGTTGCAAACAAACAAGTGTTTTAAATGGAAATTTAAAAAGTTTTTAATCAATGAGAGCTTTTAAGAGTAACTTAGTTGTTTTGTATGCGTTTTTTTTCCCCATTTCTTTTGGTTTTTCATTTCTTCATATCTTATTTTTGAAAAAAGAAAGTAAAAAAAAAAAAAGATGAACTTTTTTTTTTTTTAAAGAAATAAAATCTGAGAAAACAACAAATTAATTCTCAAAACCTTTTAAGAGGTTTATCAATTTTATTGGTGGATAGCATTTTTTTAAATTTTCAATTAAAACATATTTTGCTTCCAACAACAATAAAACAAAATTCACTATATTTTAAATTTGACTTATATGAAAACCAGAGCTCTAAACTATTCAGCTTCTTATGCAGGGCTTCTGTTTAATTTGATCATTTAGAACCAAACTAGACCAAGTTTATTGTTCTTTAATGACACAGTGAGCAAATGATGACAGTCAACACAGTTGTTATGGATAAAACTATTTTAAGAACAGTTTTTCTTTTATTATTTATTTTGTCTTTTAAAGGCATTAGAGATAACTTAATTTTACTTTTGAACTCAAGTACAATTTAGAACCTTTACTTTTTAAGTTTTACTTAAGTAATGGAGTTAAATCAGTTCTTTTAACCAAGTCTTTTTTGCACAGTCTGTACTTTAAATAAAGAATGTGAATAATTGTAACAGCTCTGACTGTATTATAGTAGTAGTTATACTTTATTACTTTTGAAAAAAACAACTTTAATGTAGATCTTTTGGCTATTCTGTCAGGCTGGAGCTACTTCAGTGAAAGACAAACATGTTTAAACCAAACACACCTGAAACCACGTGTCTGCTGAGACTTCTGGTTTGTAAACAGGCTTCATTGTCCTGATGTTACTTTCAGTCTGCTGACCGAGCCGTCCTATTTAAATGGCAAGGGAACATACAGTAAACAGTGGATATTTTCACAGGAAGTGCTCTGCGGCGTTCTAATATTTACACATAACCTACTGTAGGTATTAAACTGGAAAAGGTTTGTAATGTTGAACAGATGTTATGGTTTTTACTTCTACCCAAATGTATTTTGTAATGATAAGATTATATTCCCAAATAGCCTATTTATGAAATATTTTTTTCAACTCTCACCTAATTCATCTTTGGAATTAATACTTTTCACTTCTACCACATTAACAATATAGTAAAGTACATAAATGACATTTCACAGTCGAAAGAAAAAAACATTTTATAGATTAAAGAATAGAGAACGACCGACACAACTTGTTTAAGGCTGGTGATCCATGGAGATCATTTTCTCCTGATGATTTTTGGCTCTTTCTTAAGAGTTGACATTGCTTTTTCTTCTCCTATTTTCTTGATTAAAAACAACAATTGAATAAAGAGGCAAAGCATGCACATCAGGAGATCTGAAGGCCTGGCTGCTCAACTAATGCAGTCATTTCCAAACTTTTCTTTCTGGATTACCTTTTTGTTTACAAAAACGTTTTAACGGCCCTTCACCTACTTCAACCACTTTAACGGTTCGTCGAAGAAAAGTCTGATTGAATAATGCAATAAAATACTATAAAACTGCTTAAAATTGCTAAAACTATCACTTTTAAAGAGCAATTATCAATCAATAAATAAACCAATTAACTCAAACTATTCAAATTATTTTTACCATACCCT